TCTTTGCTAAAAAAAGTACCATCATTTCATTCCCTTTCATCAGCTCAAAAAAAGGCTCGAAAACCAAAGTTTCAACTATAAAAATACACCAAGCAAAAACCCTTTAAAAAACATCCCTTAAGACGGCACGAAAGCTAGATAGTATAACATATTATTATCGATAGTGCTAGCGCCCGAACGTCCGTACAGACAGACGTCTGTGTCTGCACTCCATTTTGTGCACCCACACAGGGCCCACACCGCCCGAACACCCTGCTGGTGGCCTGGCGCCCCCTCTGCTTCCCCCGCTCAGACGTCTGCGCCCGCTCGGTGGCACCCCAGCAGCAACACCCGATCTACTTTTGAAACATCCAGATGAAACATTTGTAATATGCTTCTAAAGACAGATAAAATATTTGAAACATGCGTTTGAAGCACTTGAAAAAATACATGAAACACTTGAAAAAACCATTGCTAAACATATAAAACATCGAGATAAAACTTGCAACATATGTGTGAAACATATATAACATCCAAATAAAGACACTTACAACATATGTCTGAAAAAGCAGATTAAACATTTGGAACGGACGCTTGCAACATATATGTACAACCATTGCAACATGTGCAACATCTCGATCTATTTTTTGCAACATCTATATGAAACACTTGCAACATACATCTGAAACAAATTCAAACATACTCTTGCAATATGCGCTTTCAATGCAACATCTCCTTGCTCCTCGGTAGAATGGAGGATCGTCGATGTGTGGAGTTCATCGGAGGTAGCGGGTCGGCAGCGCTTGTAGGCGGTAGGCCGACAGCAATGACTGCACGTCGCAGAAGGGAGGCATCGGCCGCACGAGCGGCGAGGAGGCCGCGACATCGTGACTTGGAGAGGGCAACCACGCGCCACACTTGTTAAGGCCGGTAGCCGAGCGCCATGACTCAGAGGTGGCCACGTGCCATGCCTGGCAAGGCCAGCGGGCGAGCGTTGCGGCTCGGAGGCCGTCGCACGCAACACCTGGCAAGGCCAGCGACCGTGCTCTCGAAGGCAGCACACGAGCAGATAAAAACGATAGGAAGAGGAGCGAGCGAATAGGAACGAGTGGATGAGCAATTTTTTTTAAAAAACGAAGGAGCGTGGGTTGTTAGGCTAGCGTCGCGCACCAGCATCAGAGCGTAGACGGACGAACGCTCGGTTCAAAACATTACCGTATTACTATTAGTGACCTGGGACAGAATTCCACAAACAAAACCGAAATTAGCTTGGCATGAGACACTGAACTCGAATGACCTGGGACAGAATTCCACAAACAAAACAGAAATTGGCTTGTCATGAGACACTGAACCCGAATGACCTGGGACAGAATTCCACAAATAAAACAGAAATTGGCTTGCCATGAGACACTGAACTCGGATCAACAAAAACAATTTAAACTCCAGTCAGATCACTTCTTGTAGTCTCAATGGGCAAGGGTTTACACCATCATATGCATACTAATTATATCCTAACACATGCCATTTATCCTTACAAACAAGAAAAATAAATCTCACAACAAAACAGCATCAGCTCGGCTTTTCAGCCATGGTACAATATCGAACCACTAGATGCACACAGTGCAGGATCCCCATCCAAACCCATCAGTTTGACAGTTTTATTGGTTATAGAAAACCATATATATAGTACTACAGTTACAAAAACCCTGTCTATAAAATCCAAAAAACACACACCAAGTGAAAATGCTGCAAGGCATATAAGACTTGTGCTCTCCAAATGTTACAGGATAAGAAGCATCGAGGCTCACTGCATAACCACAAACATCCTGGATAATAATCAATGAAAACTGTCGTATACCACAAATCTAATGTACTAGCACAGACAAAAACTAATTTAACTGTTGTTAACTTATTGGCCTGCGTCAGGTTGTTCATTGGCGTGCAATCTACTCTTGCACAACAGCAAGTTAACATAAATCTCCCGTGGTGCCATTGGAATAGGGTCCATTGATGCAAATGCTGCAGCACGACTTGCAGGCTTGAGTGTCTTTCCAGGATGCCAAACCCAAGCTCCAAACAGACAAAATTCGCTTAAGTCAAATATGAGAAAATGGCCACGGCATGCCATAGCATTAGACTTTCCAGGCGTTTGCAGTTGATCTAGTTGTCCTAACTTGGCTCAAGAGGGTGTTTTCGTAGCATCCATTTGGGTTTGGTCACCCCATGAGAATTTCACGACGCAAAGTTCAAGGAAGGAGGAGGTTGACCTTATCTTGCCATTTCCTGCAAAATGGAACAAAACATAGATAACTGAGATATCTAAATGAAAACTCATGGAACTACAAGACATCCACAATCGACACAACAAAATATTGAGGCACCTTATTCTAGTCAGGGAACTACGATCACAGGAAATGCTAATGAATGTTCTCCTTTTGGGGAAATATGATCAGAGAACTTAAGTGAGCTTAATCACCGCAAGCAGCTTTCAAATAATAAAAAAACATAACCCTGTTTATTAACTGTTCGCTGTTCCACTGCATGGTGCACACTGAAAAGTGTAAAGTGTATAGGACAGGGAATTTGGCATATTGCAACTAATTTTATTAGCTAATATAAATTGGCTAAGATACTACAAGCATGACAACTGTACAAAAATAACTGAATCATCAATCAGCTCCATTCTACAGACAAGTACCACTAAGAAAATCTAGCACACTAGCAACTTGAAGTTCGACAACAGTAGATGAGCACAGGATTTTTCTGTTTGAACTTGTCCACTGAATCTGTTTTCAGAATTGACATGCTCATTAATGTCACATAATAATACACAGTTATCATGAGTTCATGACCCATCCAGAACAAATCTAAAGACACCGTGAGGGGACTTGGAACACGTCCTGTCTTCTTTTGTGGGAATCAGAGGTGCTTTCCCTTGCCGGTATTTGGGGCTGCAGCTGCACATCCGTAAACTTCGAAAAATTCACATGCAACCTCTTATTGAGCATATTGGCCAAAGACTACCTGGGTGGAAAGGGAGATGGCTAAACAGAGCAGGTCGCCTCACTCTAGTCTCCTCGGTCCTCTCATCCATGCCGACCTACCACCTCACAGTGTTCCCCCTTGCGGCTTGGGCTAGGAAGAAAATCGACAAAATCAGGAGACCATTCCTATGGAAAGGTGAGGAAAATGCAAATGGGGGCCACTGTCTCGTGAACTGGCCAACAGTGGCCAGGCCCAAAGACCTTAGCGGCTTGGGGATACCAGATTTAGAAAAATTTGGTAGAGCTCTTTGACTACGATGGCTTTGGCAAGATTGGGTGGAGGAGTCCAAACCTTGGGCGGGCGCGGAACTACCTTGTAATGAGACAGACCGGCTGCTCTTCAACTTATCAACCAAGGTCACAGTTGGCGATGGCGCAAAGGCCCGTTTCTGGCACAGGCACAGCAGCTGGCTGGAGGGTGCGGCTCCCAAATATTTAGCACCCCATTTGTTCGAGCTGGTTAGAAGGAAAAACAAGTCAGTTCAGCAGGAACTCCGAAACAACAGTTGGATCTGATCGCTAAGTGGCAGAATCACCACCACCGCCCAAGTTGAGGAGTTTGTCTCCCTTTGGATAAGGCTCCAGAACATCCAGTTGACGCCGGGCGTTCGCGACTCTATAATTTGGAGATGGACAGCTGATGCTTCTTACTCCACCCGCTCAGCATATAGGATCCAGTTCAAAGGTTCCTACAGTGGAATCCGAAATGACCTCATATGGAAAGCACATACGGAAAACAAAGGTAAAGGTTTGTTTGGGTCCTGGTGCAAGAAAAAATCCTAACGGCGGATAATCTACAGAAGAGAGGTTGGCCTCATCAGGAGCAATGCGCCCTATGTAACGGACCTTTGGAAACATGCCTTCATCTATAACTCCTTTGCCCTTTCACCAAGGTGGTGTGAAGCCAGATTCTATCATGGGAGCTTGATGTGCAGCTGATCCAACCCACTCAAGATCCACTTCACCTAAAGTCATGGTGGGAAGAAGCCGCAACCAAGATAGCGAAAGGGGCAGACCCAGTGCCGGAGGCTCCCACATGAGTGGGGCCTGGGGAAGGGAAAAACCGAGGCAAGTCTTCCCCCCGCAAAATATGCGGAGAGGCTGCTTCGAACCCGCGACTTGATGACTTAGTGAGACAGCTCTCACCACTGCATCAGGCCTGCCCTTCGCAACCAAGATAGCGAAACAAGAAAAAAGGCGTTTCAATGGAATGGTGATCTACACGCTGTGGAACATATGGAAAGAGAGGAATAGGAGAATTTTTAACAACACCCATGAGTCGGCATTGCAGGTGGCCTTAAGGGTAAAAGAGGATATCGAGCAAAGAAAGAGGGCTTTAGCTTGGGGAGGGGGCAATATCACGGGAGGCATTCTGTAATCCTATTGGGGGCCATGCCCTTTTTGCTATGTACATAAACCTCTCTTTCCTATCTTAATTGAAAGGCAGAGCTCCTGCCATTACGTTCAAAAAAATACAGGTTCATGAAATCAATACATTGTCTGTCCTTGTGAGATTTTGTAGCAACAAGCCGACAAGGATATATGGACTTCTCTTGGTGGTTCATGGTGTGATTATTTTGCAGGTGTGAAAAAATGGTTATAAAATATATCAATGCTTGCTCAGAGATATGCATTATATACCACAATAAAACTCATGAGCATTGGCAAGAAACATACGTGGGCTTCAAATTAACTTGTTTACCTAAAGATGCACTCAAATTTGTTATAAGTGTTTGTTTTTCTGGGAGCACTGAGCAACTTCACAAGCAAGAGATCATAAAAGGTACAAGCTCTGAACATACTGCAAGGCAAAGGACAATTTCCAGCTAAAAGGTTTTAACATACTTGGTAAGTTCACAAAAGATAATTCTCCAATCAAAGGAGAGGCGAAGAACAAAATCCAGAATATCTGAAAGAGAACTTACGAGTATATTTTCCACATTGAATTACTTGGCAAGTCACTTGTTAATGCAGGATTTAGGGGTTAGGATGGGTTGGATACCTTATGATTGTTTTAGCAAGGGCTCTTGGCCGTTCATAACCATCTGTAGAAACATCTTTTGCACTGTCATTTGATGCCTGTTCCTCCTTGTACTCATCCTTGTCTTCTCGTCGCCCCCTAGCTTGCTGTCTTGATTCAGGCTTCCAGCATGCTTTCGCAAGTGACTTGCCAAGTAAATCAGCAATATTTATTGCCATGTTCTCAGCTTGCTCCACATGAGGGAAGTTATCTTCCTCAAAATGATGTGACAACCATAGATACATTGATAGGACCTGATGTTTTGTCTCAAGGTCCAGAAGCTCAGCGTCATTTCTTGCAGAACCCCTTGGCACTCCCATTGCGATGCTAACACGACGGCTTTGGCAATAGTTAGTGGCAAATCTTAGAAGATGGTACATGGCTTTTGGATCCCTTATATTTACTGGAGCAAAGCAAAAATTGTAGCGATCCTTGAGGGATAGCCCCTGCACCCTCTCAAGCATATTAGCAACCTTCTTGATACCGTCCTGCTGGCACATGAAGTATGTCTTATCCATGCGGCAAGTGTCACGGAATTTATCCAACAGATCATTGAAAGCAAGGTCAGGGAATTGGCTGACAAACTTTTCCACTTGCTCAAAGCAAGGAAAAAGACCAACTTTCTGTGCCTCCTCAAATGGCTGCTGCAGGCACTGAATCAAATAATCTAAATCATCCTTCAAGAAAGTTGTTGTGAGTCCATCTGGGTAAACACTGCCCCTCCGACCAGCACGACCAGCAATCTGCTTTACCTGTGAAGCAGGAACTGGTACCATTCTTTCCCCATTGTATTTGGCCAAGCTATAGAACACAACCCTCCTAATGTTAAGGTTCAGCCCCATACCGACTGCATCACTGGCTACAAGCACATCATACTCATTATCCTGCTCATTGAACAGCTTTGCTTGTTGTCGCCGTGTCTCTGGTGGCAGAGCTCCGTAAATAACACAACACTTGTGCTTTGTAAACTTCTCAATTGCCAGCTTCACCTCGAATATCTCCTTGCGTGAGAAAGCAACAACGCAGTCACCAGAGCGGATATTCTTGAGGTCCCCAAGAAGCGTCTTTGCCTCAACAACAAGAGGCTTGAATCGCTCATATTGATGCACCACCAAATCATCCCCAGTATCTGCACAAATCTTCCGGACAAGCTTGAGCACGCTAGGGTCACCACAGAGGTGTATCTCATCTGCCTTGAGCCCAAGCACAGCAGCGTCCATGCAAAGCCCCCTGACATGGTCAGCCATCATCTGTATCTCATCAACCACGGCGACTTCATAGAGCTCCTCATTGGACACCATTTCAATGGTACAGGCGACATGGTTGGCGAAAGGCACTTCCTTAACCTCCTGTCCAGTGCGCAGGCTGCAGTAGACACCGAGGGCATTAACCTTGTCGAAGATCTCCATGGCGAGGAGACGGAGCGGGCTGCAGTAGACCCCAGACTTGGCTGCGGCGAAGCGGGTGAGCGCGTTGTGCGTCTTGCCGCTGTTGGTAGGCCCGCAGTGGTACACGATACGGCGGCGCATGGCGCGCGCGAAGGGGTACCAGGTGTGCGGCGCCGTGAGGTCGGCCGCGGCCATGACCGACCTGTGCTGCCTCAGCTCGTCCGCGAAGTTGGAGACGCAGAACTCCGCGAAGGCCGGGAGGAGGAGCTCGTGCGCGTCCTCCGCAGGGAGCGAGAGGAGGTGCGCCGCGGACTCCCGGGAGAGCCGCGGGAGGAGGAACGCGCGGAAGCGGCGGGCGTAGGAGGGGAAGGCGGATGAGGGGACGTAGAGCGCGAGCGCCTGGTCGGACATGGCCGGACTTTTGGCGAAGCTGCGGACGAGGCCCACCACGGCGTCCCACGTGGCCTTCGGCAGGCGGGAGGAGCCAGCGGCGGGGTCCGAGGCGGATAGCTCGCGCCATAGCTGCTTCGGGTCAAGAGACGGCGGCGGTTTCTGGGTGGGATCGCCGGCTGCGTCGCCGGTGGAGAAGAAGCGGTGCTGGGGTGGGAGCCATGGGGACGGGGGTTGCGGCAAGGGGCGGTGGAGGTGAGAGAGGAGAGGGAGTATGAGCCGGTGGTGCGTGGTGGAGGTGGAGCGGCGGAGAAGCGCCGCGGCAATGGCGAGGTGGCGGCGGCCATGGGGTGGTCGGTTAGGCCGGCGGCATGGGGGCGAGGGGAAGAACGAGGGACCAGAGTTCCTCTGAACTTGAGTTCCCTACGTCATAGGAACGTCCGATGCTATCCTTTGCATCCGACGGTAGCAAATAATTCCACGTAAACAGAGCGAGGGGTCTCGGCCTAGAAGCCCATTGGGGCCCAGGGAGCGGCCCAGGATTAGCCACAGGTGCAAGCGGTGGGGCCGTGGAGGCAAGAGAACAGAGGTGCCAAACGCCGCCCTCCAGCTTCTATCCCCAAACTCCCAAAGATTGCAGCTCGTGCGCCACACACGGACACGAATCCTCCCCCACCTCGGATGCAGTGCCTACCCTGCGGACCGTCCACCAACGCGCCCGCTGCGCATGCCGCGGCCAGGAGCGTCAGCCGCCGGAGGGTTGTCGTCGAGGGCGTTGCCTCGGCTGACGACACCGAGGAAGCGCCTCCAAGGTCTGACAACTTGTTTCCACCCACCAGGATGTTTTTTTTTTTCTTTTGGGCGACAAGATTTTGATCGGCAGAATCAAGCAGTTCTGGGTTGCTACATACTTTGCTCGTGTTTGTACTTGGTGTTTGCATTCCAACTTTTAATTCTCATTCTTTTTGTTCGTCTCCGTGTAAAGTGTGCTGTGGGCTGTGCCACCTGGGATATACTAGTTCCGTTAAGTTTGGCATCTGATAAGTGGTTGCGGTTGCTACAAGATAAGAGCGTGTTCATGTTCTGTTATATTATATAATATATAATACTCGACATACCATTTCTACTTCTTCTCAGTCTCTGCAGTTGCTAACGGTTTGCATAGACTTTAGTTTTATTATCATTTGATTTTACTTGTTAGCTGGTCACTGGATTCTTCTCTTTATTTTTGTTTCTGAATCTTCCAGGTCAATGAGGACAACATGTGATCTTGGTGCAATGTCAAGCAAAGCCTTATTGCTTGTGTCAAAGAGGAAGCTTATTGCTTTGTCAGCCTTTTGTCTTAGCTTACATTCTTCAAGGTACTTTCCAGGTTCGGACCAAGTGACATCGGTAATTTAGGTGTTCTTAGAAATACTCTCAGTACCTTTCACAGTGACCAGACAATTTCCTCTTTGCAATAGGTTGCTTTTAATTGTCCATGGTATATGGTCTCTTTTAATTTGGCGTATTCTTACTGCAGCACTTGCTTTGGGTGATACATCTGTCAAAATCGAGGATGTGACTCCCAGGATTTTACCATCTGGGCCATTATTTCCAACTGAGGTCAGTGTTCAGTTGGACCTACTTGCTTGGTTTATCCTATAAGCTTGTTCTCAAGATATCTTTACGCTTCTTTGGGTCATGCTCCTGAATGGCAGAAACGGATTGCAGAGCTATTCGAAACAAATACTTACTCAGTCGTCAACATTTTTGATGCAACACTACGGCCACAGCTTAATGTTACTGGTGTTGTGGAGGTAAAGAATTACATGCTCTAAGTTCAGGCTCAAGAGTATTCTGTTCTCATCAGTATCTTTTGCAGATAGCGTTTAATGACAGATTTTTAATAATATAATGGTGTGAGAAGCACTTGATTGAGTGAAACTTTTCATTCATTTTAGATCCCTGAAGGAAATGGTTCTGGTGTAGTGTGGGATGATTCTGGACATATTGTTACAAATTATCATGGTATGTTGATCTGAGATGATCAAATCTCTACTGTATATGAGCATTACCTTACATCTTTTCTGTGTTTTACAGTTGTTGGCAGTGCTCTTTCAAAAAATCCGAAGCCTGGTGATGTTGTTGCACGTGTCAACATTCTTGCTGCCGAAGGGTAATACATTTTGATGAATTAAGTATGACGAAGATACCAGCATTCTTGTATATGCAAGCCAACTAATGGCCTATTGTATCTACTTGAAAGGATACAGAAAAATTTTGAAGGCAAATTGGTTGGTGCAGATCGTGCTAAAGATCTTGCTGTTCTTAAGGTAAGATGTATTTTGACTGATTCTGAGTCAAGTATCAGCACTTGATTCATAATGCCGTATATGAAGAATTGAAGATAGTCTACAATGTCAACATTTTTCTCGAACAGTCTTCAATGTCAACATAGTTCACCTTTGTCTCATTCCAATATATGTCATCATGATTGTTATTCATATTTGCATATCATCTCAGTCTTCTACATGCATCTCAATCTATTATTTTTATCACTAACCATTGAATTATCTGTCTAGTTACTTAGATTAATTACATGGCATATGGCATGGACCAAGGAATGCCAATCTTAGAAAAGGTAGAAAGTGAAAAGAGGGTGGAATGCTTGATAGCCTTTATTGTCACTAGAAAATTTCATCTCATGTTTGCCAACCAATTTAATCAAAGTCTGTTTTTGGTATTCACCTGAGTACAGTAGTTGTGTTTATTAACTTTCACTATCCTTTGCATTTGAAAAGGTCTGGTCAATCAGTTTCTTTTAGTACCTAATACATTGACATGCAATAGGTTGATGCTCCTACAGATCTCTTGAAGCCAATTAATGTGGGACAATCCTCGGCCCTAAGAGTTGGTCAGCAATGCTTAGCAATTGGAAATCCTTTTGGTTTTGACCATACTCTAACTGTTGGTGTTATCAGTGGTTTAAATCGAGATATTTTCAGTCAGGCTGGGGTGACAATTGGAGGTGGAATTCAAACAGATGCAGCTATTAACCCTGGTAACAGGTTTGTAGATATAGCTCAAAATGCTTTTCTACATTGATTATCTTATCCGAACGAAATTTTGTAGCTTAGGTTGGCTTACTTTCGAAGATACTGTTAGCACCTAGCAGGGATGGAGCCAGGCTATTTTGATGTTGTCACTTGACAACAATGAGTTTTAAATACAAGGCTAAACTGTTGTTGATCTAAGAAAACAAGACCAATAATCATTCTTTTGAACACTAGTGACATCAATTGTTCTCTATTCTGGATTCGCCTTAGCATTAATGGTTTTTTCTTAAGATCACCTAGCATTAATGCTTCTGTTGTACTGAACTTAGCACTTAGACAATCCTAAGAATATTTTGGCTAAGGAAATGTCATACAAAGTAGATTTTGACCCTTAATTTCTCTTACAATATGTTGTCAATTGTTGAGAGAATCAATATCATCTCATAGGCTAACTGTGGACCAAAATTTGTAAATTTTGATTTTCCTTGATCAAAATACGATTGTCATTCTTGGACGGATGGAGTACCATATATGGTTTATACTTTATACCGATACCACTTCAAACATTGTAGAATAGCGAGGATCGTTGCCGATTGTAAAAGTGCAAAATAGTGAATCAGATTTTACATCAGTGATCAGTATACAGACTATTAATTGGTACTTTATTTAAGTGACTAGCATCGAACATTATGATGCACGAATTTGGAGATAAATTTCTGCTGTAGCAGTTTGCATAATGATTATATCAGTGGTTAGCATGTTACTACTCTGGAACTTGGGATCACTATAGTCAAGTTGGGAGCCTGACAAGCTTTAATTGATAACCTGTTTTGAGTTAACTATTTCTCTGCACTCAGATGTTTAGCCTACTGCATTCATTATACAAGCTCGACCTTTATCCTATCCATACCCGATTACTTAAGTACATTGCAACTAGTGATTTACATACATTAGGTCTTGCTTTGTTAAGCATTTCTACTGTGTCATATCTTTTTTCATTAAATATCATGCACTATGATTCCCTCAACTGAAAAGGTACTACAAAGCACTTTGCTAACCATGTATTTTATGAACCTCAATGCAGTGGTGGTCCTTTGCTTGACTCAAAGGGGCATATGATTGGTATTAATACAGCAATTTTCACACAGACTGGTAAGATTAATCCCATTTCTCAAAACAGTGCTAGCAAAACATATGATTCGATACCTCCATCCATAAAATAGTCCTTATGCTGAGATGTTGCTGCAGATGTTTCTGTTTTTTATGCATAAACAGCTACACATACCTCAACATCTATGCTATCTGGCCATCATCAGTGAAAAGTACACATGTAACAATATTTCACAAGTGTTGTTGACTTGTTGTCATAATCTTAACTAGCTTATCGCAAAGTTTAATAAAAAAAAGGGTGTACCCAGTGCAGAGAGCTCCCGCTCTGTGCGGGGTCTGGGGAAGGGTGTCAGTGGCAAGCCTTACCCTCGCCTGTGCAATGCGAGGAGACCGCGACTCGAACCCGGGACCTTCCGGTCACAGGCAGTAAGACTACCGCTTGTACCAGGCCCGCCCTTCATTTTCTAATTCATTTTCTGATTCGTTTTCTAGATTTCGGTCACAAGCGGTAAGACTCTACCGCTTACCCTTGCCTGATCTTAACTAGCTTATCGCAAAGTTTAATAACTACATATATTTCTGATTCATTTTGTAGATTTCTTTGTTCATTGTATTATTGTGATGAGTGATGACATTTAGTGACTTCCTATATAGGATGGAATGTTGAGTTGGTGTTACTGTATTTAAAATCATTTCTTTAGTTTGGCATTGGCTTGCATCCTAGTCTCCTAGAGGCTAAGAGTTTTTACATGTCATTATTCTCTTTAAAATGGATTGGTAATAGTTGTATACTCTTTAGATCCTAGCTTCTGTACAGACCATAAGTTTATTTTATTCTGTTTGTGTTGTCCTGGTAGTGCATAAATCAGATTG